TATATATAAGAGTAATTCCTTAGCCAAAAGAAAGAAAAAGAGTAATTCCTTTGCGTAAGGAACCATATGAGTCGCACCTAACATGATTAATTCATAGATTATGAGGGCAAGAGATTTCTATTTCTATTTATTCACTTGTTTCCTTGGTTGATGTTTGTGATGAAATACTATGTCCTTAACAGTATGTTATTGTGATATTTTCATGTAAAAATTGGGTAGCAAATTTCTTTACTAGTACACGATAAGGAGTTTAATTACCGTATTTTCGGTGGACATAACGAGACAGAGCTGCTTGTGTTATCCCCAGTATAACGTCATTAACAGTCTAAATTCACAACAACAAAAATAAAGAAGAGCTTAGGTCAGAGATAAAGGCAACAACAGTGAAGCGTTAACATAGTTCGAATTAGCATAAGCAGGTGAAAGATAGAGAAATACACACAAATCCAGCCGATCATTTGGAAAATTCTACTAGACAAGTGTGTTTTTGGTATGACGAAATTCATTTTCTTGTGGGAAAATACTTTTTCATTAGATAGTCATGATTTGCTAGTGTTTAGTCATCAGAAAATATTTTTCATCAGATATGTAGAATGTCTGCAATACTAAATTATTTTTATTTTTTTAAAAATAAGGCTCCCAGTAGGTTTTGGGCTTTCATAACATATCACAAAGTTACAACTGAGTTCATCTAATCTCTTTCAAGCTAAGGAGCTACAAGAAATGACAGTATCCTACTTTAATTTCATTCTTCTTATAAAATCTTGTACAACCTCACGCCTCAACAAGCTAAAAATCTGGTTTAGCTTATTACGGCATGTAGGACAATAACTCAATTTGTTCATTCCCAAAGGCGGAGCAAGGATTTAAAATTTAGGTTTTGAATTTGTAACAAAACACATAGCTCATTAGTTAATGAGTTCGCAATTAAGTATTTATACATATTTAATAGATTCTCTAATACAAATACAATGTCTAGGCAAAAAGCTATTGGATTCGTCAATTAACACTATCCCTCCACCCTGTTTATTCGGATGTGCTTTCCTAGTTTAAGCAATCAATAAAAAGAGAATATTAAAAGCATTAATGACGAAATAAAATAAAGCAAGAGACTAAATCCGTGCAAAGGGATTAATGCTGACCATCCTTGGATTTTAGGTTTATAATATAGTATACTTACAGAGTTCGTTAAATTCTTTATGAATTTAATGTCGTCCAAGCTAACAGTTCGATAGACAAATCTCATACGAGTAGACGTCTTTAATCCTTGTGGAACTGTGAAAGGTGACTGAGAGTCTTTCAAGAAGAGAGCAGTGGCTACAAACATCGAAACATCAACAATTGTATTGAATAAAAGACTGATGCACGACCACAACTTTACGAGGTACTGCCACGTCAAAGACCGAATACTTCTTCTGTTGTTTGAAAATTTTGATTTGCCCTTGGAAGATGAAGAAGAAGAAACCAGGAGTGTTGGCAAAGAAGTAGGATCCGAGCTTTTCCGAAAACAAGAGAGTAAAAGCGAAACTAGGGAAACTCCATCCCCAATAGAATGATGAAGACGGAAAATACAAGTAGCCTCGGCATGAGAAGTTTTCACGTTAAGAATGTGAAGATCCCAAAGAGGTTTCGCCATGTCAATAGAGGCCGTGCTCAGGTTTGATATATAATCTTCTACCAGCTTGTCGGTATCCATATTATTGGGGTTTGGCTTTAGGTCAGGGACAATAATATGATCATCTAGGTTGACTGTCGTGGGAATCCCTTTCATGTTTCGGCTGTCATCACTCTCATCAATAACCTGTTGATGTTACAACACAAACTAAAAGCATCAGATTTTATTCAAAACTTGGATAGATTTTACACTACTAGACTGTGGTATTAAACATAATTACGAGAAATTGTCTATATACGAAATTTGAGTTGTTATATTAGTGTAATTAACTTGCTACTGTAATGAATTGATAATGTAAAAGCTGTTACAACTTTATCTAAAATTTAGTGCCAAAGGCCCAAAACTGTAGGAGATATGGAATATTTTCTCCATAAAACAACCTAGTGGGCTAGTCATTGACTTCGTAATTACAGTACTTACCAATTTTGTATCCAGGACCTCCAGGCTAGTATTAGTGGAGCAAATTTTATCATTTCAAATTATGCTATGCCTAGTTACTTATTACCCAATATATGTCTCAAACACCTTTTCTATATGTTTGTACCTTATTATTAATTCTAACAGTACACTAATTAATAGCTATTCCATAGCACCATTGAGTTAATTACCTGCAAACTCGAAAACCGTGGATGTTTAAGCAACTTGCCTTGTATTTCAGCTTTCATGGCATCAACATTAATTGGTACTTTCCAACCCAATATTGCTAAGACGTAAAGATTGTAGTTTGGTTCATGAAACATTCGAGAAGTTGGACTCATCAGTAATGCTTCTTCTTCTCCTCCATTTTCATCTAATTTCTTTGTTGTTCGTATAGGTTTCATGAGAGCCATCTTGTTTTCACCACGCTCCGTATCTTAGAACAAATATTAAGTGATGATGACCTATTTATCTACGAATTTAAGCAAATATTGCTGATAAAAGGCTCCTATTATATAGAGAAGAACGAAAGCTTTATTGGGTGCGCACACACAGTAGATACATTTAAACCGTATGAGGAAGTTATCATCATTGAAAGCACACAACTGTCTTGATAATTAATCTAGTTTTGAAAGCCTAGACAGTGTAGTTTAGACTACTTTTAGGGGTCCTTTGGTTGAATACGGCATATGTGGGATTAGTTATCCTGTTATTGGTTTTTATTCACTGTTTGGTATGTTGTATTAATAATGACAATTGCATAATTTCTAAGAAGAAAGTATAAGTTATCCCCGCACTAATTACCCCACCCTCTACAAGGTATAAGTTATCCCGATACTAATTTTAATCCCGGAATAACTTATACCAAGTTTACTAACCAAACAAAGTATTAAGGTGGTATTAAATTTTTATACCAACACTATATCTACTTATACCTCATGCCAAACGACCCCTTAGTGAAATGTATAAAGGGGTAAACTGGATTACTGACTTCACTCACGTGAAAAATGGAATTAGTTATTACCAAATTGAAATCTATCTATAAGCTACATATTTTATTTACGAAAAAGGACCTAAACTACCCCTGACCTACTGGACTTGGTACAACTATACCCTTAGTCTCCTTATTGAGTTAAATACCCGACATTTTCTTTTGGCTTAAAAATACCCTACACACTAACTGACCATTTAAATAAAATTGGAAAAGGCCAAAATTGCCCTGGTATATTGAATTTAGTTAAGAATACCCTTCGTTAATTGACCACATATCGAAGTATATGAATCACCCATCCCCAAAGATTCAACCCAAATTTAATAATAAAATCCATACCTAATCTACTTCCTTCCTTTCCCAAAGAGTTTTATCTTCTTTTCGGAAAATTATAAGTCCAAAAAAGTTATTTTGTATTTAATTTAAACTAGGTACAATAGGCATGCTAGGTGTGTTGTACTGTTTGGTTGTATTTTTCGTGCATATATAGTACATATTAACTTCTTAGATTGATTATCTATGCGCTTGAGGTGTAGTTTAAAATTTTCAGAATTAAACTTCAGTGAATTTTTCAGTTCTTATTAGCATCAAATTTAGCCTCCGCAATATAGTTAAATTTGATAGTTCCCTTGTTTTGGATTAAAATTACGGAAAAGGGCCAAACATGCCCTTTACTATGCGAAAAGGATCATATATATCCTCCGTTATACTATTCGTCCATAATTGGCCCCGACGTTACACAATTAGTACAAAAATACCCCTCCGCCGTTAGGGCCCTCCACCATGGCCAGTGTCATCCTACATGGCGTGATATTTTGCTAAGGTGAAAGCTACATAGAATGACACCTTAGCCCACTAATCCAATTTCACCCCCTTCCCCCATTTTTTTTCTCCAATACTACCTCCTCTTTCACCTAACCATTCTCTACAGAATTTTTTTTACTTATTTGTCAAGACTGCATTTTCCAGTTTTTTGGAAGTGAAATAAAATCACAAATTGATTCCTATTTTGCAGTACATATCAGTCTAAAAATCCCATTTTGCTTCTTCTCGTTAATATATTGTAGTATCTTCTGATTTTTGATTATTATTTTATTTAACTTTCTGCTTCTCCTAATAATGTGCTTAAATGGCGAGCAGGAATGAGAAAGAATGGCTTACCAAATAGTTGATTATTTATAGTTCGCCATCAGTCCGGTTACTTAATTCCAATCAACTATAGAACGTAACAAACTTATGAATGATACCCATTTGCTATTTTTTTTGGATCTTTGAATTAGATGAGAATATAACTTTTTATGATGATTCCATAAAGTTGTGATTATGCTTACTCAGTGTTAGTCCAAAGAAAAGGTATTATATATACTCTATTTGTCATTATTGGGGTAGTTTGAAGATGAAATGCTTCTTATATAGTTATATGTTCATTAATCAGTCATTAGAAGGTCTGCAAGATTGCATATCAGTTGCCAACATTCACCTTGATCCAGGTTCTTTATCTAAATCAGAAATGACCCTTCTCACTTTATGTTCAACTCCTCTTGGGGTTCGTTTTTCTCATTCTGAGCTGGAAATCCAGCTTGTAAACCAAATGAGTATGCATTCTCTTCTCGGATTGAGCCCCAAATTCGATATAACTGGTTAGGTGAAGGAGGAAGGTGATATTGGAGGAAAAATTGGGGGAAGGAGGTAAAATTGGGTTGGTGCCCCGATGTGGCATCCCATGTGGATTCCACCTTTGCAAAATATCAGGCCATGTGGGATGGCATTGGCCATGGTGGAGGGCCCTAATGGCGGAGGGGTATTTTTATACAAATTCTATAACGTCGGGGGCAATTATGGACGAATAGTATAACGGAAGGTATAAATAATCCTTTTCACATAGTAAAGGGATATTTTTGGCCCTTTTGCGTTAAAATTATTGAATAAGTATGCAATTTTGGAACCGTAGGTAAGCCAGTCTACTGAATTTAAATAGTTCTAGAGTTCATCAGACATAATAACCATAAATTAAATCTCATAATAAGAATATACAAAAAGAATGATAAAACTCATTGGAAAAAGAAAGAAAGACACCGAAAAATTTATTACTCCCTCCGTTTCATGTTAAATGATGTACTTTTCTTTTTAGTCTGTTCCAAAATAAATGACACATTTCTAAATTTGGAAATAATTCAACTTTAAACTCCTCATTTTACCCATTTTACCATTAATGAGAAACTTTTATAACCACACAAAAGTCATGACCCCATAAAGCTTTACCCCTTAAGCTTTTAAGACCACAAATTTCAAAAGTCTTTCTTTTTTCCCTTAAACTCCGTACCGAGTCAAACTACCTTATTTAATTTGAAACGGAGGGAGTATTAAATTTTAATGTGGACCTTAAGGGTAATTGAATCTTTAGAGATGGGTGTGGTGCTTTGTAATCAAGGGCGAGAAGGAAGTTCATGGAAAGGTAGCTCACATACCTTTTCAGGCCGACGGTCCTTCCACTCAGCACCGTCGGATCGAGTCATATTTGATAGGTAGTTAATAGAGGGCTTTTAAACCAAAACAGATAGATCAGGGGCAGTTTTGGCCTTTTCCTATTTTGTCTTAAACGGTTCTAGTTTTTAGGGCTTTTTTCCCACACAAAAAATAGCAGCAATATTTTTGGCTCAATAAATAGACGGAGAATATTTTTATACCAAATTTAATAGGTTAGGGGCATTTTGGTCCTTTTCCGATCTGCTTATTGTTCTTCAAGGAAAATAAACATAATCATCAGTTTTGCATTTGCACTTGTTATCTGGAGCTTGATAATTTTATTATACTAAGACAGTCATCAAGTGTCATATAATAGAATGATGAGCAGTGATAATATAAACTTACTTCTTAAATCCTCAAACCTGTCTGAAATGTAATAAACATGTTAAATCAGCATTCAGTCGGTGATTGGTGTACTTGAACGTTTAATTTAAGTTCAACGTTATCCTCGTGCCTAGGGGTGTACATAGATCGGGTTGGTTCGGATTTTTCAGTTACCATACCAAACCAATTATATTGAGTTATTAAATTTAAAGACCAAATCAAACCAATAAAAGCCGAGTTTTTTTATCTCGATTTTTCTCGGGTTTTTCGGATTTTTTTCATAAAGTCTTCATAGAATAAAACATAGAATTTGTGCTCCAAATATTTTTGTTTGATCCTAGTACGATATAACTATATAAGGTGTTTTTCAAGAAATAACATAAAATATGAGATAAGCTATGACATTGCACTAAAATATTCAACAATAAAGATAATAAAATCGCATACGATAAATATTATTAATAAACCATAATAAAAATAAACATAATCTAAAATTATTAAGTTGCTAAAATAAGTACGACTAACAAGTACCCTTTTTACATGAGTAAACACTATAAAAAAAAATAAGTTGTGCATTTTATCTAAAGCATGGAAAAACTAAAAAAAAAAAATAGATATCCAACACTATTGTCATTCCTACTAAGTTGCTAAAATAAGTACGACTAACAAATACTACTTTTACATGAGTAAACACTATAAAAAAAAATAAGTTGTCCATTTTATCTAAATCATGGAAAAACTAAAAAAATTAGATATCCAACACTGTTGTCATTCATAGTACAATTTAATTGAATGTCTTTTATTAGCATTAATATTGACTATAAAACTTATTGTAGCATTCAAGAATTATAAAGTCCAAGTTTAAAATAATACGTTAAAAGATAAAATTATGAAAATATTTTAGAAATATTTATAAACTACACTACAATAAATATTTTTATGTACTAAATATATTTAAATATTTCTATACATGTAATGTCGGGTTGGTTTGGTTCGGTTCGGTTTGAGTTTTTTTAGTTCAAACCAAACCAAACCAATTATGATTGGGTTTTTTTATTCCCACCACCAAACCAAACCATAGTCGGATTTTTTTTCTCGGTTTAATTTGGATTATCAGTTTGGTGCGATTTGTCGGTTTTCTTTGTACACCCCTACTCATGCCATTTGCTCTCTGATTAAAACATAGTGAGAGTTGCTGCTGACAGTTGAGGAAATTAATGTCAATTTTTTTCAGGAGACTTTTGAAATATATGGTCATAAAAGCTGAAGGGACAAAACCTTTGCGGGACTATGATATTTGTATGGTTATAAAAGCTAGGAGTGGCAAACGCGCGGGTCAGTCAAAAATAGGTAATGAAAGACGGATAAATTATCCGACCCGACCTATATTGGATACGGATAAAAAAAAGAGTTAACCGGCGGGTAATATTGGTAACCATATTATCCATGACTTCTTGAATATGATTATTTTTGGGAGAATTCCTAATCTACCAAACTTGGGGAACTCCCAATTTGAGACTTTACGAATATAAAAGTTAAACTCATTGGTTATCCATTCGTTACTCATTGGTTATCCATTTTCTATAATAATATGGTTCTTATTTATATTTAACCCGTTTTTCAATAATTCATTATCCAATCCATTTTTTAATAAACAATATGGATAATTAACTGTTTTTTATTA